GGGGGGGGGGGTGCGGCGGGCCAGCAGCGAGGAGCGCATGTCAGGGGCCAGCTTTCTCTGCACTCACAGCAAATCATTTAGCAGCCGTGAGCGCCGTGGTCGTCGCGCACAGCCTGCAGCCATGATCGAGGCGATCGAGACTATGCAGAGAGCCTCATACAGTCACGGTATCGGCCATGGGCCTCGAGGCAGCCGGTTGCGGCACGCCACGCTGCTGCGGCGGCTGCAGCGGCTGCCGTCATCGCCGCCGGCCCCGTCGCCCGAGTCGTTGCATCGCCCAGCTACGACCATGGGAAGGTGCTGACCTCATTGACGCGTTGTGCAAACGTCTGGAACTTATGGCGATTCCTCCGCTGCTGTGGGGGCGCCGGGCCCCTATCATCGTCGCTGTCGCTCATCTTTGCACCGACTTATAATGAAGCTTACATATTTCTTCTGTAATTCTGCATAATTGAGATCCCCGCTTTTGGTGTATGATCTTGTGTCTGGTGGGTCACTGGGTGCGTCACCTTGCTGTGTTCACCCCTGAGTACAGCGCCGCCGAGGCGAGAGCACGCCAGCTCGCAGGTATCAGATACTTGCCTAAATGTGAGTCCCGGTGGAACGGGTACGGGCAGGGACACTTGCTTTGTGCACTCCACTGCTTGCCGCACACTTGCTCCTTTGATCCCCGGTGAGACGGTGACGGCCGACTACCACTCCCAAGGTAGTTGAGATATACTTGTTATTACTTCCCTGAATTGCAGATGTATTGCGCACCAGGCCTCATGCTTCTTCATGGACCAGTTGACCAGTTTGCAGCCCACCTTACAGGCAACAGGACCAGGATTGTTACAGCGTCCTGGGTTGCCCGCTATTGGAGCCATCCAGGCTCATGAGATCATATTTTGAAGCTTCAGCACGTTGTGACTGGGATGCAGCTGGGTTGCGTGCGCCGTTCAAAGCAGGCGTGCACGAAGGCCCTCAGTGCGTGCTGGTCTGCACTGCACAAAGGCACGCATGCGGACATGCAGCACAGCAGCAGCAAGCCTGCCCCGTTTGACGGGCCACAGCCCAAGCACCAGGCCATGCAACATGTGCATTAGCATGCTTGTGACAGAAATCTGGGGAGCCATTAGCACATGCAACGCACAAACAAAGCGCCAGCATTTGCAGCCAGTACATGCAGTCAAATGGTGGTGTTGACGCGTGCAATCAGAGTTTCCGGCCGGGTTTTTTTGTGATGCTGACATATGAAACATAAAGGAAAGTAATAGAACTTTATAGGGCAGAGGACCATCAGGTGCTGTGCGCCCAACACGACTACAGCCCACCACCATCACGGAAGCTAGGGGCTGCCGCGCCCTCTGGCGTCAGCAGACGCAGCAGTGACAAAGATGAGCTGAGGGCGCAGGCAGACCAAAACGGTCTGCTGTGCAGCGCCGCCGTCAGACAACGGTGCGCACGTGAAGGTTGGCCCCATCGCGATCAACGCACCCCACCATCAACACGCCGCATCACAAGGGCAAGGGGCACGCTGCCGCCCTGTGGCAACATGCCCGTCGCTGGGAGCAACCGCGCCTCCAACTTCCCCAGCCAAGGACCTGCAGCGGCGCCCGCGCGCCCCCCCTCGACCTCGCCCGGGCCCTCACGCCGCCAGCCCTTCGTACAGCGCCCCCAGCGTGTGCGCCTGGTGGCCGCCGGCCGCCTTGGCGCACATCGACTCGAAGGTCCTGCCCTCCGCCTCGTCCACGACCCCCAGGACGGCGGACACGTAGAGGTGCCAGCCCTTGGCCTCGGCTGCCTCCTGGAAGCCCACGGCCACCTTGGCGCCCGCCAGGCCGACGGCGCCCAGCAGGGGGGTGGCGGCCTTCTGGCGCACCTCCAGGACGATCTGATGGGAGCCAAGGGGCGCGGCGGCGGACGGTGTCGGCGGGTGTTGTCGATTACGGCGGGGTTGAGATTTGGGTGTTTGCTGATGTGGCGAGGGGCAGGGCCGGACGGCCGTCCCCGCC